GTATGTAATTTAAATTGTCATATATGCTGCAAAATAAAGATGATAAAAATGCAAGATATATTATAACAACATACCATTGCTACAAATTGAGATGGACTTCTTGGTTATCTCATCTCTTAGCAATATGACTTTGCTTGTAATTTCTTAAGCACATAATTATTATTATTTTTTTTTTAAAAAAAAAAAAGTCATTTGTCCCTTTAGCAATATGACTTTGCTTGTATTTTCTTACATAAATTAAAAATATTAATCAATTAATTTATTTTAATATTAAAAATACAAATCTATTTAATTTTAATCATGCTACTATATTAAATTTTATTTATTTTATTATTTTTATATTAATTTAATTTATTGCATGTAATTATTTTTTTATTAATTTTTTAATTTATATTAATTTTACCTATTATACTTTATTTTATTTTAATTAACTAATTTTTGTATCGTGTTATAAATATCTTTATGTTCAATAGTTTACAACTATTTGTGTAGCTCAGTGGTTGTGGTGGGCATCTTCTATCCCTGAGATCTAGGTTCGAATCTTACCTCCTACACTTAATAAACTTTTAGCTTTTGCAATAAGATTTAGGAGGATATAAATGTAAATTAATAATTCCGCAAAATAAAAAAATTGAACAATTCTCGCAATTGGAGAAGGTGCCTTACACGCGCCGTTAAGTTGGACGGAATGGGGGAACCATGCAACAATTACTTAAATATAAAGGGGTCTGGTGCATTTTTTGAAAACAGTGAGTAAAAACGCGCACATTTCGTTAAACACAGACGGCGCCACATATTTTATCCTAACCTGAGCAAAAGAGGTATCAAGGTGGACTGCTTCTGCAAAGCTTGTGGTGACAGTGAGGAAACAACTGAACACATCCTGCTCAACTGCCCTAGAGCAAAGCTAGTGTGGAGGCTGGCACCGGCGAAATGTAGGGGTGGGCAAAAGAACCGAATTTCCCGGTACCGAACCGGACCGAAATGGTCCCGTTCTGAAAAATAGGGTTCCAAACAGGTTTCGTAATTTTCGTATCGTTCACGGTACTGAACCGTTTGAAACAATATCGGTATTGATTTTGAATATTTTTGTCTCGAACTGTCTCGTTTCTCCCGTTTTAATTTTTTGTACAAATATATATATTATACAAAGATATAATCATTGAAGCATTCAGGTGGAAATAGCGTCCAAGTCCCTCATCTTTTCCTAATTTTTATATTAAGAATCTACTCTTCTCCCACTGGCTTAGTTAAAAATTTTGGCAAACGTTGTAGGACTTTGTGAAATCATTACTGCAAAAATAAAAATACTGAACATCTTGTTCATGTTTAACTTTCTTCACATCCTTCATTATTTTAAGTGATCACCAATACATTAGTATATGCCTAGAAAAAATCCTTCATTATTTTAAGTGATCACCAGTATATTAGTATATTCCTACAAAAATGTATAATCCTAGTATCACGCAACATACAGATTTGTATGAAATATAACTATCAAGGAGTAAACACCATAATCATACACAAATTTCAAAAAAAAAAAGAAAAAAAACAGAAAAAGAGAGAGAAAAGAAGGAGAAACCATGATTTCTTTTTTAATCCGTTTTGTCCCGGTCTCGAACCGAGACAAAACGACGCAACGCACCTTGGGTCGCTATGGAAACAGCCTCCTTGTATAATTACAAGAGTAAGGTCTGCGTACAACTGACCCTCCCCCCCCTCCCCCTCCCCCGATCCCAACCTGTTGGGAATATACTGGTATGTTGATGTTGATGTTGATGTTTGTCCCGGTCTCGAACCGTCTTGTCCCGGTCCCAATTGATACCGATCTGTTTGGGATGATGTCTCGTCCCGGACCGTTCCTGGACCGGTTCATAAAAATAGGACAGGTACCGGGATAGGTCAAATCCCAGAACGTCTCGGACTGCGCCCACCCCTAGTGAAATGGTCTGCTCTACAGAAGGACATTACCTGTTTCAAAAGCTGGTGGAGGGAAGTTTGCTTGATGCACATGTGCAAGGAGGCGCACTATAACATAAATAGATTTAGGTAGCACCACAAAAGTGATACATAGAAGTCATAAAATGTTACTATAGACAATAATTTTGGCGCTGCAGTTGTGCGTGCTACCTATTGTCTTAGGTAACACATTAAACAACCTTTAGTAACACTTTTCTTTTATGTTACATTATATAATTAAGTGTAACACTTAAAAGCAACACTTAGGGCTCGTTTACTAGAGAAGATAGGATTAGATAAGGTTGGTTAACCAACCTTATCATATGTTTACTAAGCAAAATAGGGATTATGATTGAGCTGAGGTGGGGATTGTGTGGCAGGTGGGCCCATACAATTTAGTTGAGCTGGACGGACAATTTTGTCAGGGCAAATTGGCCTGATACTTTTATCATCACTTTGCAATTCCAATTTTGTCCATTCTTCTTTTTCCCCATTCTCCCCGTAAGAACATCTTCTCATTCCTTTTTTTCTTTTTTTTTTTTTAGTTTGCAAATTCTAATTATGGATATATCCGTATAAATTCAAATTGAATGCCAATTTGTTCTTTTCTTCTTCTTCTTCTTCTCCATTATCCCGTACGAACATCTTCTCCTTCCTCTTTTTTTTTTTGTATTAATTTGCAAATTCAAGTGGGTGTTAACATATTGGTAAATTCCCAGGCGTCAATTGCGAACATTTCAGCTGTGGTTATCCTCCGCATCGATTTTACTGCTTAAGGTTGGTAAGATTAAATTCATCGATATTTTTTTGTAATTTTTTTTTTGTTAATTTTGTTTGTCAAATTTTTTTTTCATCTATCGTCTTTCGTTCATCTCCTCCGGCCCGATTTCACGGCTCCAAGGTGTGATTCGTTAGGCCCAACGAGTTTAGGGCAAGAAAGGGGGAAGGGTGCTCATTGAAGACATCATCCGATTTTTAGTGGAAAGAGGAGGGCAAAACTGACATTCAATGATTTATCATATTATGCAAAATAGGTTAGTAAACATAGGATGGGATTCAAAAAATTAGCATATAAAATGACAAATGCTGACTCAGTGGACAAATATTCTTATCCCATCGTATCCCTGTCAACCTTAGTAAACGAGGCCTTATTAAATGTTATCTAAGATCTTTTAGGTAGCACTATTACCAAATGCAACCTTTTGTTGTAGCACTTTTTTTTAATTAAAATGTAACAGTTTTTCTCATTCATTGTATCACTTGTATCCTTATACTATAAAGCCACGTTTACTTCATGGACAGGATTAAATAATCCCAGCACCTTTACACGTCACTTATTTGTCTCGTGTTTATTTTGTGGAATGCAACTTTGTAAAACAAATCCCTTATTTTTTTTTTTTTCAAACGATAAAAACAAATCTCATAAAAACCAAATAACTGTTTTTACAACCCGGGGAGCCCACTGGCTCCAATCACAAACGAAAAAGCAAGCAGACCAAACCTATCTAGAGGCAAATGCACAGATCTGGGCCCTCTAGATACACTACTAATAAAAACCAAACCACAACTAAATAAGCACATAAACAAAAAACAGACAATAAAACAAACAGCAAATCAAGGCCACTGAACCCAAAGGACCTAGCCTCAAAC